AATTTGCATCTTCAAAATCTTTTTCTCTTCAAAAGCTACAAGTGTTATACTCGACGTGCATGTCATTGCTTCATCTTCAATGGAAGTCTTTGTTTTCCTCGTTTCTTGGTTTTTTTTTTTTTTTTTTTTTTTTTTACAAACAATACATATATCTAAGAACAGAGATGCATGATATTATAAATGCTATGATAAATATTTACCGCACGTTGCAGTTACATATCAAGACGCGCAAATGTTTCTAACATATGATATGCGGCTTACGGAGTATCTCGCATGGAAGAATTAGCTTTAAGGCTAATTCTCTAAACTTCGTGAAATTATCCATTCATCAGCATTACATCAAACAAACGTGGAATATTCCCTTGCCTTAATTTTCACAAACATCAAATATGATTCCATACATCATAAGTTTAAAACACCAAACTATCTTCTCTCCAAAATATCAAGTACAACTTTCGGTACCATCAAATGGAATTATTTTACTTTTGCAAGAATAAGAACTTTGCACTGTATTAAATAAATAAATAAAATTAAAAAAAGAATAAAAAAGAAAATGATTAAGAAGGAGCCGAGTTTCAATATCGAAATTGAAGTTCCTAAATTAGTTCCTCAGATTTCAATTGTGTTTCTGGAAGCTCTTTTTATTATCGGTCGATTATATAAACATAGTATCGAGGCGAAAATCTGAGTTTAACGATACGATAACGATCCACCGTTTATATAACGAGGTCCTCTCTCGAATCAGTCGGAATGTAACACTTTCCGAACCATAAGCGGCCGCCGTTGCGGTTCGATAGCCGCGGGATCGATGGCCGAATAAATAGGCCGAGAGCGCGCGCGGCGCGGATCGATCCGTCTCATCCCCATATCGATATCGGATGGGCCGCGTATAGCGCATTCGTTAGATTACCCCCGGAGCTGAAAGTTTGGCCGATCTGACGTAACGAGGCGTGTGAGAGCGCGCTGTGCCGTGCCGTGCCGTGTCGGTCGTGTCATGTCGTGTCGTGTCGTGTCATGCCGTGCCGTGTCGTGCCGCGTGTAGCGGAGCGGAAAGTAAGCGGAACGAGCCGAAAGCCAGAGCGCATGTCGATGCCTCGAGCGGCAGCAGCCAATGGACTGGCTAAAATATTAAACGAGAGCAAAGACCCTGCTTGTTCTCTCGTACCGGCCACGTAGCCGCGGCGGTTCAATTTCTGAGCCAGTCTAGCTCCGTAGCCGCGGCGGGGGGATCGGAAAAGGCGAACCAGTGGAAATAGACGCTCGTGGCCAGACCCGCCGCGCCGAGTCTGGACTGGCACTACTGGCGACATCCGCAAACGCGAGTGAGAAGAGAAAAAGGCGCGATCGGTCGGCACGAGGTGAATCAACTTCGATCGGGAATAAGAAATCGGGAATGTGTAAACGAAATATAGATCGCGCAACGCGAGATTTGTCCAATCGAGAAGGATATTTGGTATCATTCTTTCTTTACATTCTTAAAAGATTTCCTACATGACGCATGTATAATATATACATATGTATGTATTTTCGCGAAATTCTTTCAGTTTAAAATTTTTAAATTAAATAATCTCAAAATATGAAACGGAATATTCGAATACAAATATGCAGAATAATTTCGTTTCTATTTTTCTATTTGTTTTTTTTTTTTTTTTTGCACTGTGTGAATTTATCGTAGTTGAAGTTATTTAGACTATTACATGGATGATACGTATTGCACAAATGCATCGCAACGATCACGCGTAACGTAAGCGAGCGATCGCCTTGAGATAATAGACGTTGAAGTTTGGTAGATTGTAATCATGCTAAATTGTCTTTTCTTATTTACGAGTGAGATAATAGAGTTAAACTTCAACGGTTGTATATATCTTAAGACAATGGTGTTGCGCTCACAATAGCCCTCATTGTTGCATGACGTATATCGCCCATATATTCGAATAATTCTTCGATCTCAAGGACTATTCGGTTAATTTTACGTTGGACGAATTAGTTTAAGCATGAAGATGATATATTGAACGTTTCTTTGTAAATGCAAAATTTTCTTGTTTTACCTTATTATTATAACTGAATTAGAATGATGCGAAGAATTTAACAAATATCTTAAACGATCGAATAAATATATCTACATAATTATACGAAGCGTATTATAAAACGTGGTACTCATTCTAAACAATTTTAATTCTTTTTGTATAAATGCATTAACTGAATAACATGATCTAAAATATTTGAATATCGAAACGTAAAAAAAAGGCAGAATAGCAATGCAAGCGACGTTATAGCGTTCACTTTTTAAAAAATTCACAAATACTCGAATGGTCAACCGCAAAAAGGCTGTCGCATTCTTTTTCGATAAATTTCAGCACGCACAAAAGTTTGGCGCACCGCTGCCTACTTCAACAGCGAAAGTTTTGTCATAGAAACGGCGCGCTTTTATACAGTATACAGTTTATTTAATAGGTCACGATTTATACTGTTTTACGCGTGATCATACGAAAATTACATTTGTTTGAACAAGGATATACACAGCAACAATACCACAATGTGACAGAACCATAGCTTGCAACCGTTATTTTTTCGCTAAAAATCGCGTAAAAATATTGTTGACTTTACACTTTATCGAACGCGGTTGTAATTTATTAAAAATTGTATTAATTTATGTCTATGATAGCATATACTATGCCATTATAATTTGTCTTCCGTATTCATAAATATACACAGAATGAATGGACTAAATAAATTCAATTTAATTTCGAGACATTTATCAAATCACAGTTATTAATGTTTACAATTAACTGCTCACAATTAATGAGCATATTATGGGGATATGTAAATGTATTACTCCATTATATATGTCATGAGATTTATACTATCTGTTTAAAACATGATGTCAGGCAACAATTATTTCATTTACATCAATTAACATCGTTATTGACAACGTCACCAGTTATGAAATTGAGAATGGAATAGTGCCAAAATTGTTTCATACATATTAGTATTACATTCCAATATATATTCTTACTTGCTATTTCGACACCTCTGCGTTGATTGGACGATGATATATCTTCGGTGATCTGCTACGACGCCATCCGGATTGTTCCTGAAAAAGAAGAGATTGCTATCAGCATAAAAATTGTACATATTATTATAGCATATAATAGATATATTATTATTAAAATCTCTCAGACGTACATTACTATTAAAAAATTTTTATATCATTACAATGCTCAATTAATACAAGAAACACTATAACTTTATTAACAAATGAAATGATTCGTACAATATAATAACGAATATATATTGCGAGATAATGTAAGATTTGTAAGGCATATAAATTGAAAGAAACAAAAAAACAAGGAAGAAAATTTTTAAATTATTATAATGAAAAAGGTTTCGATAGTTATTGCAATCGAATAGAATTTCTCTTCGATTAAAATAGTCTAATTCTTTATGTCCAAAGAGAAACTTCGACATTTATAGCCAGTAATTTCCGTATGTTACCGTTCTTCTCGTTAAAGATAATTTCTTCAATGATTGGCCAATTCGGCGATGTCCCGATATACAAAGACTATTAACTCCATTGTTAATAGAAAATAACATACTTAAAGAGAGAAGTATTAAAGCGTACACGCACACATTCAACTTGCGCAAAAGGGTTAACGGGGTAAATAAAAATATCTTATCGAGCAATATATGAACTCGCGGATAGATGCATAAAGGTCTGAGAGATAGGGTCGAGCATAAATCTAATTTTATGTCTGCCAATCGAGCGGCCGGGCTATACCGAGACTGATCTAATGTCCGACCGAAAGACATGATGCGTTTATACGACCTTTGGTAATTCAGAGTTTATAGGTCGTCTTGTGTCTGTCACGCGGAAGGCACTGCTTCCTGTTGTAACGATATCCGACGCGTATACGCGGAAAATCGCGGTAAATGCGTTTTATTAAAATCTCTCATTTTTCAACGACGGCGAAACTTTAATTAAAAGCAAGCTCGCAATCGGCACCGGTCCGTGACTCTCTATACGAGATTCCGCAAACTCCATCGTATTCACATTGCCGCAGAGAGTTTGCGAATTATTAAATTATTTAAGGTCGATGATCTTGCGCGCGTAAATTCTGAATAGAGACGCGAATAGGTCACGGTTCGATGATTTTTATCTATGACGCTGAATTAAAATGCGACAAAAGTATACGCGCGTGGATAACGTTCAAGTTTCAAACGGTGTTCCCTTTTTATCTTTTTTTTTTTTTTTTATTCATGAGTAACGACCTGACCGTGCAGTGAGACCCATTTATCGGGACAAATAATTTACCTCCGGTTTCAATAGCTTCTCGATGCATGACATTTTGCTGTTCATTATTTCCAGCTCCAGTTGCTCCTTGCATAACTGTCGCAGTGAGAGAGAAATCCGGAAATCGGTAAAATTATTAACCAAGGACAGAGTAACGAAAAAAAGGCAATTATATAAATTACCAATGTTTACCATTTTCTTCGTTTTCTCTTGAAACACGCTCATCCGTTGCAGCTGAAGAGAAAAATATCAAAATTATTACTACGCGCAATGTAAAATTACTAATTGTATATCTTTGAAATTTTGGATACTCGACGATCAGCATGCTTACATGTTTATGAATACATCTGTACGGAGGTATGACATTAACGACGCTTTTCATCCGCGGTAACTTCTATAAATTATTGGTAGTCAGCGCCTGGATGCTTTTAAAGTATGGTTCAATATCGCTCTAGCCTCGATCAAACCTCAATCTGGCTGTGATTGCCGAGACTACAACTTACCTTCTCCGCTTTCTTGAACAATTCGCGAAAAAGTGCGCCATTCGACGTTACCGTGTTTAAACTCTAACGCCAGAATAAAAACTTAATTATTTGAGGCAAAAAACTCACATGCATTCTTGAGAGAATGGTAGCGAATCTACCCGATATTTGACAGGAGATGATGGTTTTTCTATTGGCATGAGCTGCGATCGATGAACAAATGACAGCAAATAGGCAAATTGCTTTGAAACTGGTCAAGTCAAACAACCAGACAGTTCGACATATAATAAAAAAATTATTGGTTTTTTTCTTTTATCGTCTTTCGTAAGGATGGTAATGATGTTATTTTTGCCAATAATATCACGGTTCTCGTCCAGGCATCATATTAGCTATCATCCCTGCGGTAGCATGAATGAATGATGATTTATAAAAATGATGATTTTGAAAAATCTCAGCAAGAATGTAACTAATCTGATTATTAAGAAAAGCATATCTCAATCTATTCTACGCATGTATAAATAAGAAACTCAAAAATCTATCTAAATTAAATTCAATTTTGGATGCAAAACAATAATAAGCAATCAATTTGATTGCTTTTGTATATATAGTCGCATTAAAAAGTTTTATATCTAATGTAGATAACCGTACGAATAAATAATATTTCTTTTCAAAGTATCAAAAACTGATAACTTTTTGTAAAAAAAAAAAAAAAAAAATTTAATAAGCATGAAGAGATTTTCAATTTTTATATACTTTTATATTTCAGCCTACATTTATGAAACCCATCGAACAGTTAATCAGTTTAAAAACTCGACACATTTAGGTATAATTAATTTCCATGCTCACCCGCCTCTGGGTAATATCGTTCCAATTTCTTGCATTTCTCCTTGCCTCTTCAGTATTTACACGAGAGTTACCTCTCGCGTTTTGAAGTTCAGGCATAGTTCGTGTCAGTCGCGTTCGTTACGTTACGTGTCATTAGGATCCTCGTGAAAGGTTTGTTTAGTTTTGCGTGCGCCGCCAATATTCTTCCCGCCGCGCCTTCCACCGCGCGCCGAAGTTTCCCGACGTAATTTATAACCCGCAGCTTTATACCCGCCTATGTATTCGTAACACGGAATGTGTTATTGAGTTATAAGAGAGAGCGCGATATTGGAGAGAAGTATTATAATTGATCTTTCTATCGCTTTTTAATTAATGTTCTAAATCGGAGTAAAATTCATAACAAATATTTAGATTGTATATAGAGTCATATATGTAATGCGAGTCATATATGTAAATCATAAATAGACTAAAATATTGAGAATATTTCTAATATAAAAGGCAAGTGACAGAAAAAATTATTAGCGCGAGTTTAACAACCATATCAAAATAACGTATTAATTGAGATCGATCGAAATTTCGCATATTTTTACGTCCTTGTCCAACAAAGTTCTCGTGACTACCGCGAATGTCGAGAAGGAGGAAGGGAGAATGGGAAGTACGTGAAAAAATATATAATTAAAATCCAACGTTGTGGGCGAGATGCATCTCGAGCACGAGCAAGGAAATCAGGGCGAGGAGACGAGAAAATTACTGAGATAGACGAAAGCAGATAGGATAGAGGGGCTGACGGGTCAGAAAGAAGATAAGTGTGTGAGAAACAAAAAAAAAATAATTACGTTCACGTAGAGAAAGAGAGAGATGGAGAAAAATTGTGCGACAAGCGGTCATGCGTTTGTCAAAAAAAAAATCAAGCACGCTACCAGAACGAACTGAGGGAAATGGAAGATGTATAGTTCATGCAGGCGGAAGGATAAAATAAAACATATTCTCCAGTTAAGTCATTCATTTAATATTACCATTCAAGATATTAAATCATTATTCAATAATAAAACAGCGTAATATTCTATAAAATCAAATTTTCAGAAAATTAACAAATTGGTTATTTAGAGAAACACAAGGGGCAAGTTCTTTTTATGAAACGCGATGTTTAGAACACCTTGTATATTGAAAATGCATACGACCGTGCGCTTACAAACCGTACATTTTATTAATAGCGTCCACAAAAGCATTGTTCTAAAACGGGAAGGCAATAGGGCACTGACACATCAGTTTATAATCTCCTCGAGACCTGACACCTGTAGTCAATATATAAACAGTGAATCTCTCATATTTTTATTTAAAACTATCGTCTGCATCTTTGCTTAATATTAGCGCGATAAATTAAGAAACTCAGCAATTAAAGAATAAAATTTCTTAAGTTGAAAAAGCAGGAAAAATTAATCTAGAAATGCATTTTTCACTCTCACACCGTCCAAAATAATCTTCCCGATATGTCAATCTCTATGAAATTTTTTTAATTCATCTATTTTAACTAAGAAATTAGCCCTGTAAAATTTAAATTTGTGTTTTATCTATTTGAATCAAACGTATAGATAAGATTTTTATATAGAGATATTTGTGATTTTATGTTCTCGGACAAAGATGCTTTTTTACTGAAGAAACATATGACAAGGAATCTATTCGACGCGCTGAAGATACTCGCGATTACTTGAGGCTCAATCTTGACGTACGTGATTCAGTCTGACCTGGTGAATTCCAACTATTGCGTGGGCATGTACGGCTGATTCCGAGGCCTCTGCCGTATTACTCGATCCCGTGATCGAGAAATGATTTCAAGGTCGACCATGTTCATCCCGACCTGGATTGAGCGAGAGAAAGTGGATAATCTTGATTCCATGGGAAAACTCGCGGTCTCGACGCAGGTTCATTGCGTAAAGTCGATCAAGAGTTATCCGTTCAATCCCGCCATGAACGAGATTCGCTGCTGCGAGCTGAAGCGGAAAGTGGAAGACACTGGTGGATTTATAAACGAATACTTGGAGTTCCGACTATCCCTCAAGTTGTTATGCGTGAATTTGTAATTATTTATTTTTTGAAACTTCACGATTATTGATAAAGAATTTTTGATAATAATGTGAAAAATTTTATTGTATATAAGAAATCTATTTTATAAAATTTGTAAATACAGTTTTTACTCTGCTCTGTTCGTTGAATGGATATAAAGATAGACAAAGCGAATGTCCTTAAATGTCGTTTCACTTACTAGAGTCTCTAAAGCGCTAAATCCGCCATTCGTAGAAGACACGCGGTTTATCCCAAGAAAATGATTTCTGCAATTAGTTTTGTATCGCTTAGCGTGGCATAGCGAAAGGGGATTAAAGCTACCGTAAGAGTGAGGCTAGAAGATAGCTTTTATAATACGATTATCTCGTGCCTCTAGGTACAGGAAGCTTTAACATTGTTAAAGGAAGAACTCAAAGGGACCTATTACACGCTCGGAGCATTAGACAAACAGATTCGGCAACAATTACTGGACGATCATTTCCTGTTTAACGATGGCAAGGACAAGTAGTTTCTAAAAGCAGCGAAGCAGATTTCGACCACCGAGTAAGCTTTCTAATACGATAATGCATGACGAAAACCAATAGTAGTTAATTCGTTCTCTTCTTTGTTTATGTTTGAAATTAATGTCGACGTGTGCACGATTAAACTCTGGATTAAAACACGCAAACAAAAATGGTCTCACGCTTTGTATTTTCATGGTCGAAACCGAACGGCTTCACGAATGTACTCAATTTATGTTAAATGCGCACTAAGAGCCAACTTCGACGACCAACGTTATACGGGGTCAAACTTTGATCCGACTTGCTTTCGTTAAAACATTCAATTACAATGTCTCAAGTTCCTTCAACCGGCTCGAAAACATTAATTCCGGTAAGCTGAATGCTCCAAATCGTGCGAAGGCTTATGTTAAAATAAAGATTAAATCAAAACTTTACCAAGATTAATCCAAGTTGTATATGGAAATAAGCAAAAAAAAGAAAAAGATTGTTATACGACAGCAAACGTTTCCATCCGCAACATGCATTTTTAAGCAACTTCTTAATCAGAATTTTTCGCGTTTACATTATACATTTAAGTTACAAATCCTCCAAGATTCGTCTGTATAAACAAACTTCTACGGTGTAATGTCTTATACATACGTTAGATAGAGTACAAGAGCGGTGAGTAGCTGATTAAATGAATTTGCATTAATGATTTTCGTCACGATGGGCTCTCGAAGATCCCTTCGCTTCTAGGATTAGGGAGTTAAAAGGGTTAGAGAGTATTACGGGGCTTAGTATTACGCTTAGAGAAGGGTGTGGCGTGTGGTACTTGGAGAGAGAGTTCGGGGAAAGATAGCCGAATGTTTCGCTCAATTCTTTTCTTTTTTATGAGTAATTTCGAATCCCATGTTTGTGAAATATACATACAGCGTTCCGAGTCATTGATTCGTCACTGCGAAAAATGGAACGCGAGAACATTTTTTGTTTTCTCTCCGAAATTTCCCCAATCAATTTTTTTTATTTCTGTGATCAATTAACAGACAGTTTTTAAAAATATGGACGTCATAAAATAATTCAAGTTATATGTTTTAAAAGCTCTTTAAGCGAAAGATATAAAACGAATTATCGCGTCAATTAAAAAAAACAAGGTATTCGCTCTTTACCGTTTGCCAAACAAAGGATCCTCGAGCGCTCTTTTCCACGTTTACGCATTTACCGTTATGCTTAATTAACAGCATCATAACTCTGTCATTTCCCCTTCCATTCGTTTCTTCTCACCTTTTCCCGCATTTGACATTGTCGCTAATATTAATTAAATCTACGATATACAGGAATACGATTTCGCCATAGGACAGATTTAATTGCGTGCTTTGTTTCTTCTACTGATTGCGTATCTCTCGTTGCGTTTCTTTTTCCATTTGCTGCATGCACTCAACGATTACCAGCGCTGTTGCTTGTTATTCACGAATAATCAGAGGTTCGTAGCCGGATTCATTTTTTTCCCTTTTAATAGAGAGATTCGTTTCACACCGGCTGAATCAATGCAGACTATCCTTTGAATGCACTAATAGATTAAAGTGCACCTGGCTTCTCGGCTTATTAATTAGACTTTAGTATACTACACACATACTTTATATTAAACTGTTTGTTATTTCATGCATTTCTACTTTAAAACAGGTAATATTGTCCTCATTTATTATACTATACCAATTTTATATAATTTAATGATATTGTATATTTTATTGCTACTTTGATAGTTAACGAATTTATAAAATATTTATCTTTAATTAATCTTAATATTTACTTTTGATCTTTGTTGAAATTTTGATACTCGTCAGTTTTCCGCTCTTAACTTAATTCAATAATACCGACAGTCTATTAATAAAACAACGAAATGTAAATTGAGGAACCTCTAAGAGAGATCTCTGCAAAATATGAGCGAGATTAGAGCAAGTTTAGTCTTAAGACACACTTGCGTGATATTTTGAGATAAAGTGACTTACTCCACCATTCGAGCACTTAATATGATTATACGAAGAAATAATAAATTAAACTGTAAGAAATCGGGGAAAAGCTTTCTAATTTCCGGAACACGCGCTGCGATATAATATCTCTAAACTCAAAATAAGATGGTTCTCGCGATTAAAGTTAAACGTTACGTCTTCTTACGATCTATCGATTATCTCTTTTTCGTGATGTATACGATTTATTTATACAATATTTGTACCGAATATAATAATAGCAGCAACATAAAAATATATTCAATACGCTAAAGACGATACGACGTAATAGGAAACCTTTCGCGATTAAAGAAGAACAGCTTTTCGTTTGAAAGTTCAAGGTATATAAAAACCGCCGTGCTCTTGTATCATGCTGTTCTTTCTCTTCGCCTCAGGCAGAAGGATATTTTTTTAACGAGGGGAAAACTTTTCTTGTCTGTGGTGCAACATGGAGAGGATTGCATGCGTCTGATATCGATGGAATGAAACGGTAACCTCGCGGCAATACGAGGGACTCGTTAAAGCGATCCAAGAAATCGGGAAGAAATTGGAATTCCTGCGGAAACACACTCGGGCTTCCTCACATTCTGCCCTACGAATCTTGGCACGACTATCCGAGCCTCCGTGCACGTTCACCTGCTGAAATTGAGCGCGGATTATAAGTGGAGGAGATCACGGCCATGTACTCTTCAAGACGCGACGATATTCTATAAAGGAAGGGTCCGATCAGCTGATCACACGAATGAATATTATTCGATGCATATAAAAGAGAGAGATAAAACTGCGTTTTATGAATCTGTGTGATCTTTCTCGCTAAAATATATTCTATATTGTAAATATATATCGTATACATTTTTTTCACACACGAATATTTATTTATAAAATGTTATTCGCTAAATGTTTAAATTCTCTAAATTTTGGAATTTCTCGCGGAGTTCTATTTCATGATTGTATCCATAAAAATCAAATAATGGGCAAAGGAAGGCTACTGTACTTATGTATCCATGAGTTTTGCAATTTTGACAAAATAAAAATAAATAAGTAAAGAATACAATTGACAAAATTTATAAATTAATTTTGTTAAGTATTAATAAAAAGAGAATAAATTATTATAAAGAAATATATTTTTTACACACAGATATTTTTACTGACATTATAAAGATTCAAGAAATAAGAGGCAAGCACGAAAAGAGCAAAGGTGGTATTCACGACATCAGCGGTAGGGATTGACGGAACGAAAAGCCCTTTTTGAAATGAGATATATTGTTATGATACTGATCAAACTAGGAAGGCAGCTGGAAAGAATATGTCGTGACCTTTTTTTTATTAATAGCACACAACACGTGTGCCACGTGCGCACGCCATTTATATATTTCAACTGTTTTATTATTTGGTTATATTAGTTATGATAAGGGACCCTACGCACAATAAAAAAAAATATTAGAAATAAAAATAAATATCAGATATTAGAAAGAGAAATTTGGAATTATTTTACTTCAAACGACGGAACGGAATATGTTAATGCGTAATGAATTAAAAATTAAGAATAATTAATCCATTCCGTTCCATTGTTTAAAGTAAAATTCCAAATTGCTTTTTCTAATATTTAATATTTATTCCTATTCCTAATATTTTCTCTATTGTATGTAGGACCTTATCATTATTTATAATAATATAAAATATTAAAAAAATTGTTATAACCATTTCTTATAAATATCATTTTTGAATATTTTTATTTAATTGTATGTATAAAAAGTTTCTAAAAAGTTTTTATTGCATTTTTTGTTAACTACAAAAAATTCTTTCGTGTGTGACATTTATAATATTATATATATAAATATATATTTTTATGTAACATACATGAGAATTGCCTTTGAAAAAGATATTCAGTAATGTTTTAACCAGATGCTGTCATGATATACGAACAAGAATTATAAGGGTTTGAATGTTGGGCAAACGTTGAAATAACGTAGATGAGACTGTTTACATAGTAAAATGACATTTCATAACAATAGGACGTCCAACGTTACCAAAAATACGATCGATCGGTTTCTTTCTGCACATTCATTTCCCTTAAAATATAATAATTTATTTGATGTCTCCCTCTCTTTTTTTTTCTACCATATTATACTGGAGTACTATACCGTTTCTTTTTCGATATGTGTTTCATCGCGTATATTGTTGATTCACACATTCAAATATAAATCAAATAGGTTTATATAATCGCGCTTATTATATTTATACATTTCTCACTCTTAGCTCATACAAAGATAATGCCCTTCATCATTTCGCTGACATTGAATCGCCTTGCCTAATAAATTTAGTATATGAATATTTCAAAAAGCAGTGCTGGCACATGTCTTTTCTTTCTCCATGCATCTTTTGCTTTTTTGTCCTTCGCTTTCATCTTTTTGCTCGTCTATGTCACATTCACTTGTATTACTCCGATCATCACTATCAATAGTAATAGTCTTCTTCCTTTCACTCCGGCTGACGCTGGAATTCCTTTCCACTGTTCGAGCTTCTTTATCTCGTCGCACTGGCTCCTTGATATTTTTCCACCTTATTTCAAAGATAGTTTTGGGAGAAATCAGGAGTAATGTTTTACACTTTAGCCTCTGTTTCTCTATCAGACACCTTTTCCATCTTCGTGAAAACCAAAGATACATAACTCTTGAAATGATTTGCAAGACAGAGTTCTGTCGCAGTAGAAATTTGTGATAAAAATTCATTGAAAAATGTTTGTGTCAAAGTAATAAATTCTATAGGATCAGAAGTCATTCTCACTGTTAATCGAAATGATTGAGCCATTTTGAATTGTGCCGAAACTGAATCTCACTTTTTCATGAACAAAGCCATTGTCTTAATACATAGCACAATAAAAGAATGTGAGCAATGGATATAAAATGTAAATCGACTTATCCTTGCAAAGAATGAGAGATCTTTAAATTTTTATGGCTCACGCAATAATCTAATATCAATAGACATGCCCAGGAACTCTAAATTGAAATGTTTCCAATCGTTGTGCAAACGTTTTCTTATTGATGTTTGTTATTACTTTTGTTATTCCATTTTTAAAGAACCATCTTTGAATCTCTTATAAAATTCGTTTATCTCTTATTACAACGGGGAGGCATAAATTGATTAATGGTATTTATGTAAGCAGGAACTGTGACACATGTTTGTAAAGAACAACGTGTAAAAATTTCTTGCCGGAGAGAAATAATTTTACTGTCAATTTTACTGACGATATTATTAAATAAAGGTTTTAAATGCTTTTGAGTAGAGATAGAAATAAATTTATTCATAAACTCTCTGTTTCGAGGATATCTTTCAAGAGCTTAAAAGAATCAATTCGTCCTATATTTTGATTTTGTTTGTGAAATAAAACTTGTTTCTTAAAAAAAAAAGGAAAGACAGAAATGATACAAATAATTTCTTCATGTCTTGAATTCATGTTTGATTCCATTTTCTTACACATAAATATATATAAGCAATGGATCTGATAATTTTTAGAAGAAATTCAAAGTCGCAAAATTTTATAGTTGTCTTTCAATATTTTTTATTCTTCCAAAAAAACCACCACATCAGGTCGGACAATTTCCACGGGCTCGGTTCCGGTCAGTCGGTCCACAAAGCTAGTCGGGCTTGACTAGACTAGGACAAAATCCCCCGGGATAGCGAAAGCGACGGATCGAAAATCGAGTCAATCCACCTCTCACCCCGTCCCCTTCCGCTCGTCCAACTGCGAGTCGAAAGAGCCATAGTATGCCATCAAGTTGCAAGGGATATTGGCTCTTTGAGGAAGAGCTTTAATGCAGCATTAACCCTTACTGATATCGCACATGGGAATCGAAAATCTCGAATGAACGATGTAGTCAAATCAAAACGGAAAAATTAAGAAAAATGTTTGACTAAGAGAAAAATGAATGTGTGTGAAACGGTGTGATATAATCTATTTAATTTTTTTTTTTTTCAAAAAAAAAAAAAAAAAAAACAATTGTTTTTTTTTTTTGTTAATCTTAATTGTAATAGATTGTATTTGTCAATAAATGTACATGTAAAAAACACTACAAGTTTTTGCTATTTTCTGCATACTCATTCCACTTCAAACTCTATTGCTACAGCATATTTCATCTCTCTTTTTCTTTCTTTGAGAATTAAAAAAATTATTTAAAATTAAATTTGCAATTTAAATTTATTAGTAATTTAATAAGTCAACGTGATTCATCCAATCACCGATTCAATTCATTTGTTTGAGATATCAAAATATTAGTTAAAATGTAGCAATGCTGAGGATTAAAAACAATGAAAATTATAATATTCATAAAAGTTGCAAATTACTAAAATATTAAAATTATTAAAGTTTGTTTGATTAAAATCACGCAACTTTGCTGTTTCCGGGACATGAAAATTGGGAAAATAATAATAATTAATTATACGATCCAATTTATATTTCAAACAAAAAAAAAAAATAACCTGTAGTTTTTAAATTTAGATTTAATGAATAAAAATTTTATATTTATATTTAATTTATGTCAGTCGATAAAATTTCCGAAGTCAATTCCGTAATGCTGATATATTTGTACATAGTAGTGTGTGTCTATCACATTTCCATAATTTATAAACTGATAACTGCTAAATCACTGACTACAATTGTCACTGACAATTTTAACAATTTACCCATAGTCATAACAATAATGTTATATTTACTCGGATTACGGTGACATTATTGCGCATTCAAATGCATACACTGTATGCATTGTAATTTAGATACATTTAACATCTGATATCATTATGCGTAAGCTGTAGATATCACACATACACATACATATAATAGTTCAATATTTTGATTATCTTAAAATGATATTTGGCCACGCTTATCTGTAATGCAATGGCAATTGCGTCGTTAAATATAACAGCAACAATAGCTGATTCAGAGTAACAGCACGGACGGTGGAGGTGGTACAATTGCTTCTTATCAGCTGCCTGTTTCTCATATAAGATCTTCGACTTGAATTACTCAGAAATGACGAATCTTGTACTATTTTTAAATGAAATAATAAATATATGAGTAGTCAGAAAAAATGTTGGAATTAATATCAAAATAATATTTTAATTTGTCAGAATTCTTTATCGTTCTAATCGTAAATGATATAAAACTATCTATGTCTCTATATTAAATAATAATTCTTTTTTGTTTGCCGTTCAACCTTTTATTTCAGAAGAGAATGCTCATATTCTCTAAGATACACGTATACATATATTTATTTAGATCATTTTTCGGAAGGATATGTTATATACGTGCAAAGAATGAAAACGACCAAATTATAATGGAACGATTGATATCCTTGTGTATGTTGGTGATATTAATCCATTTATCATTCTTATGTCAGATTCTCGATGTTCATAAAAGCATGAATAATCGTTGTACATCGTATAATAAGAGCGATGCTGATCGTTCAAAAAAGTAGCTATCGTTCTTTTTACATTCTAATAAAACAAGATTACTCAGCATTAATTTTACTTTTGCCGTCATTTTGAGACTGTCAGTCGAGAATGAATATGAAAACACTGATCCGCATTGACGGATCTTAACTTGGTTTCGTCCGGTTGACTAATGTTATTAAACGCGAGAGAAGATATACAATAATAAAGAATAACAACTTTGTTTCCTTTATCTTAATCGCGCGTAAACTGCAAATATATGTGTTTTCATATATGCAAAAAATTCCAAATAAAGAAATAATATATAATTCACACATAATAATATTTAAAATTATTATTTTAATATAAAGAGTACAGTGTGTAAAATACTGCGAAATATTTGTCGTTAAAAAAATATAATGAAAAAATTTTGATAGTATACTTCGATATTGTTTTCGTCTCTTTTGATAAACTTTTTTTTGAAACTATATAATGTGTGTTATGTACTTGTCCAATAAAGCATAAAAAAACATAAAATAATAAGTATGTATATAAAAATATGATTACAAAAATACGGATCGGGAGACGGGTCAGCAGGCATTAACGGCGAGAAAAAGATTTCCCACTTTTACCGACAAAGGTAATCTTCTTACACAAAAGTGCTCCCGGCATCTGAGACTTAGGAACACCGATAAAGATAAACGAGCTTTCGTGCTTAAGGATTAACCGAGTGGTCGCGTGTCCCGTAACGATCGATGAAGCGACGAATCAACGGAGAAGACCGGCTCCCTAAGTGTTCGGTCGCTAAGTAAGTAGTAACGAACGTGCATGGACGGACAACGTGACAACAGCGGATGCCCCTCGCATCGTTACTGGGGATTTGCAAGCAAACCACATATGCCTGCTTGTCCACAGAGTAACAAATGAGAGATTGTTAACGTTATTCTAAACTTTGTAAGATATCTTACAAGTATCTACGCAACTTAATGCGCTTGAATATATGTATTTGCGATGGTGTAAATTCGGCAATATCTTATATTATATATTTATACCATTGTGTAAGCTGAGATTTGAAATAAACAAGTTGTCGTATAAGCCCAAAAATTATAAAATATATATACGCGTTCTTCATCCTCTATTTTAAATTTCTCTTTCTCTCCCTCTCTTATAGCATTAATTCTTTTATAATTATTTCCTCTTCTTGTTAATTTATGTTAATTTTTTTATTAAAAGATATAGATATCAGATAATGCGTAAGTTCTTCTAAGAGTCTGCACTTACTACAGAGGAATTGATAACGATCGCTGGGAAAGGTTCCGGATGGGCATAGACCTGGTCGGCCGAGCTTGTAGAGCTGCTGGGGCGCGGTGCGATCGACAGGTCCGTAATTACACACGAGTACCTCGACTCGATTCCCAAACCCGCCGGGCGTCGCCGCGGTCTTGTTCAAGTCGAGCGTGTAAATCGCGCGGCCGCAACCAACGTAAATGAACGTCGCCGATGCGAGGGAAATGTAAGAGGAGGAGGGTTTCCACGCCGCGCTAGAGTAGTTCACTAGTCTGAAAGGTACGATTATCTGGACTAAATGAAGGTGGATGGTCCGCAGCCTTTAGCTCTCCCCCCATTGACGCGCAACTTGAATTCAAATTAGGATGGGAGAAGCTTTTCATAATTTGGAATGTTCACGCAAGTTTCGAAAAATTGAAGTATGTCTTATAAATTTATCTTGAAAGTTGCAAATAGTTCAAGTTCTTATTTTTGTCGAAAACATGTATAATAATTCTAAGAGACATATTTTACCTATATAAGAAGAATATTGTACAAATTATATGTATATATTTCTTCTTTCTTCCCTTATAATTTTGAGATTATTAATATTATTAATATTCAATAAATACATTTAAATAAATCACAACCTCGTGCTGTAAATATATATAAAAAAAGATGAGATAATATGTCTTCTCGTTCACTTCTTTCGAACGACTTTACAGAGTTAAAGCTCGAAGCTGATATTGTATCACATTTTTATGTATCCTATAGGAAATTGAAACTTTTTTTCCTATCAGACCCGAATAAAAAAAAAGACGGCAGCAGCTCATAGCTGCTGGGGGATCCATGTATACCGGACTATCGACGAGTAATTTGGGCCGGTACAATAGCACTCTCGATTTCCAATTTACCGAGAGAATACGCGATTTTGATTGTTCCCGGCGACAGAAGAAGAACACCACCCGCTATTCCTCTATTACCACCCTCTGTTCTATAGAATCGGTCTTCGCTCATTTTCCCTGACGGTCAAGTCGTCCGTTTCTCATCCCTCTCCTTTCTTCTAACCTTCTCCCAGTACTGGCTTTAGAAAGATAAAGACGAGCTGTCAGTTGAGGCATCAAGGAAAGACCGTAGCATATATCAAAATATTAAAATAATTTAGATATTTTTACAGAACATTATCTTTCTAAATTTAGATTTTATGTATATATGTACGTATAATCTATTAATATTTTTTCTGTCAAATGTAAAAAAGAAAGTGTAAGAAAAAAGAAATATCTTTAATATTATAGGATTATATATCTAAGTCCAATGTATTTACATCACGAAATTTACATGCATTCCACTCTTAAAAGTAAACATTTTATAAACAATTGTACATTCAAAATTTTTATATTTTTTTGGAAGAGAAAATAAAAGATATACATATATATTTAAGATTCTTTTTAATTTATTCATATTCTTGTTTCTAAATTTTAATTTTAAATCAGGGGGAGAAGAGGACGAGAAAGAATATTGTTCGGATGCATCTAAAATCAGCACTGAGTCCCATGGGACTACCGCGATCGCGGGCAATAGCAGAAACGAGGGTGAATACGTGGGATGAAATAGAGGATCGCGAAAAGACAAGAGAGCGACGAGGGGAGGCGAGGAACAGAGCGGTTGCCGCAAACCTTCCCCCGAAATTTGGCGGACCGAGTTAGCTGTGTCTACACACCGAATCGAACATCGGCCATTCACAAAGGAATGCTAGAGTCTCTCGACACAAAGGAATCGTTCCGATCAACTCGGCTCGGGCTATTGTACCTTCTTCTCGACAGCATCGCGATTCGTGCACGCGTTACCATCGACCTACATACACAGGGGTGAACGAAACTGCGCGTATGTATTTACGTCGATTCTGTCGCGCGATTTGCATATACAAGGTGTCCCATACCTAGTCAGCCATCTTTCACTTCTTTATAATGTGTGACCGATTTGGAGTTTTTTTTCAACAGACCGCCAAAAAAAATAGTGTAGTTAAGCTATAAGTAATTGAGAAAATAAACGGCTTTTCACACGTCGCGTCGAAAACTAAGATTTAAAAATGCAAAGAGATAATAATACTCTTCTTCTTTAATTTTAATACATTTAATTTTAAGTAAACTTTTTACTTCATAATAGATTCTTAATTCAAAAAGTGGTCAAGAAGATATTTATTATTAAGAATTGAAAATTTGTACGACAAATGATAAATGATCTTCTCTCGACGTTTTCGCCAACGAGAAATTGGTCAAAAGATCCATCTAAGTGAAAGATGGCTCGCTGGGTACGGGACATCCTGTATATCCTATATATGTACTGTTCGCACACTTTTGAGTTTTACCCGATTTCCGCGTTGTCGAAGTCCTCTACCTCGTCCTACTCGTACCATTTTCCACGCTGTCCATATCGAGTACGTTCACGTTCTGCCATACTCCAAATCGTTCTGCAACGAGCGACCCGTTTAAATAAGGCATCCGTATGCATTCCGACCTCAGTATAGTAATCGTTTTCAGAAAGGTTATAACAAGGTTCGCTCACCGAGTTCTCTGTCTTATTAATCATAAAATTCTTGGCTCTCTCTTTCTCTAATATAATTTTGCAAATATCAAAATCGCTGTATTTTAATTTAAAAAAGTTTTGTATTCGACATTTTAGATTCAGGAAAATATTGTGCCGTTTTAATGTTTTTATTATCATAAACAGAAGAAGTCATGACAGAAGTCATTTTTGCGTATTGTTAGCATCAAAATGCGTGAGCTCCGAATAAACTCTGATCAAAATTCGAAAAAGCTTGATTAGAAAATTAGAGGGTTCTCAATCTTGTGTACATAATGCAACGCATACATGCGCCTGTTTCGACCGTATCGATAGAACAATTTCGCGTCTGCACGGGTTATTGGATATTGAAAAATAACGGCGCAACTAGAGAGTGAGAGGGAAGGAGGGAGGGATGAAAAATGAGATATATCCGTTGGGGAGTTACTTGCCAATGTCTCGGCACTGATCCTTCTCGAAGAGCTTGCACTGCAACACCCATCTACGCGCTATAACGGCGAGTTCGTCGTCCCAGATCTGTCGAAACAAATGACGCTTCAGGTGCCGTCTCCGCCACCCCCGGGATAAATGATTAAATATCGCGCGTGTTGCGTCGATTTTTCTACCAATTCCATCATGGTCCTTGCGGCAGGCTGCGGCCCGGGATTTCCGCGGCTCTCCTTGCCGCTCGCTATAGTGACCCGATAAAAATTATGACTGTCGAGCACGGTTTCGATATCCTCCCCGTCGAGATCGCTATACTCCATATCGATGCAATTCGCGCTCTCGCAATTGGTCTGCAGAGGGGTATGAGTGAATAGCGATTGTAAAATGATAATATATTATTTTTCGTTACGAAAAGGAATTTTTCTCGACTACGAAATATAGGAAGTGTATTATATTTTAATAAAACGATTAAGGTTAGACATTTGGATGTCGAGGATCTCGAATATCGTATCAGCATGTTTTGTCACGACTTTGAATATTGATTTACGAATAGAATATTCAATATTGAATATTGAATATTAACTTGCTATTCTAATCGATCGAATGCAGTTTACATGTATCCAATATTACCCAAGCAGTTTCTATAAATATTTACAGGAAACAAGCACATGGTGTGATTGGGACAAATACGGCAATAATTTTTGTCCTCACGGTCGCGCATCGATAATATCCTTCCTCTCGTCCCGCCGTCGCCGTAACGCACGAGGAAGAATAACAGACAAAAGGTACGAACTGTCATCCCCGGATCGAACTTCATCATCGTCAACGCCATATCGCCGCCGTCGCCGCTTCCGCGAAATTGGTCGCGCGCGTCAGCTGCAATTGCGCTTCAGCTGAGCGATCCGCGCGCAGCTTAATCGCGAGACGCGAGCTTTTCTTCTTTTTTCCTCCCCGCGAGTTGCCCAACTTCAAACCGCGCGAATCAATTTAGCAACTTCGACAGTTCGAGATGCCTGAATTGGTAGGGAAATTTATCGCGCAACGGAACGGAAATTCATATCTCCTCTATGCGAACCGACTTGCCAAGCCGGTCTGGTCTTGCTCTTGATCGATGCGCGGACCGAAAACGAGACGCATATACCTAAGCAACGCATCGCGCAAACTATTTCAATTCCGCATTTATTACAGACCGAGAATTCGCGGCTGCGTATAAAGAAAACGAAATCGTTGCCGGGACGGCTCGCTGATAAATTGTCTCGCGGCCGGAACGACCGGCACTCGGCAAACCGATATTTTTATTTGCTTACGTGGCATATCGCTTTATATCAAATTTATTTATCCTCTTCCTCCTTCTTTCCGCGTTGCGAAGTATTGGGGTAGTTGTATTTCGTATCGTTTAATTCGCGCGTATTTGACCGAAACTCGCGTTGCATTTTCGTGATTAAGTGATTCTTTGCCATCCAATACGATAAATAATCACATCTTTTAATTATCTAATATTAATAAAATATCCAATAATATTATATGTATAATATAGAGTATCACAATTTAGCAGAAATCGGTATTGAGTAATTAACAGAGATAAGAAAGCACAAACTGGACGCTAAGTCTGTATCAAAATGAAAGCAATAGTGAAAAGATTAAAAAAAAAAGATATATAAGATATAATAAACGATTCTCTTGACTATATAAGGTACGGTTCGTAGAACAATTTCTTAGCGTTTATTCCCCCCCTAAGTGCGATTCATAAAGTTCTCTATAGTAATTCTGGCGTAGCGGGTCGAAATTTGTTTGTTCGATCGTTCCCCCACGGGAGATGTTATAGCGTGTAAACGTGCTTGTTCAGCAAGTTCCTTGCTTCTGCCGTGCCGTGTACGCGTCTTTTCATTTCGCGTAGTCGAAGCCGCCTCTCGTATCATTACTGTTTCAATACGTATGGGAGATAAGAACTTCTCAAGTAGCGTCGCGCGAGATCGCCGAACATTTCGCCATCTCTTCTCTCGTCATATCGTTATATCGCAACAATAGGTAGAGATTGTTGACAAAATTAATGTACGGTAGCCGTTGCGAATTATATTTGCGAGAGTGATTCGAATTTTCGATCGATACACTCTTCTCTCAGAGTGCAATTCGCGCGATATTTATTTTATCCGAGCGTTGTGTGCCTTCCCTTAGTTTTCCTAAAAATTTCTCTCTTTTCTCAACAATTAAATAAATAAATATAAAATATATAACATTCTTTCACACTCACACACATGTATGCGAAATAAAAAGAGTAAATTTTGGGAGCGTAGACTACATGACGCGTTTAACGACATTGTAAATTTACTTAACGTTTTAACGTAAAACGGTATGCATATGCGACAACTCGATTTTACAAGGGTTGATTGTTTTGTCAGTAACGCAATTTACATTTCCGAGTAATGGCATGTCAAACATTTTGATTAAAACGAAAAGCGGCGTATGGGCAATGAAACACGCGGAAGAAATTAAAATTAATCTGAAGAATTTCAAATTAATAATACGCACTTGAAAATAGTTTATTTTATATACACTGTTTCATGTATACAAATAGTATATCTGTATGCACAAGTATTTACACGTGGACTTGAACAGACATTTCAAGATATTTTTGTCTTTCGCGATGAGGAATAATCTTCGATGCTATTATAATCCTTAAAACGTGAACAATGCGCAAAAACTAGTTAAGTAAAAAAACAGTTAATAATTATCATCAACGAGAATATGACTATTGTCGCACAATATATTGCAGCTTATAACTTGCCGAGTGTTTTAATTGCATAATTGGAGAATCTTGTAAGAGATCTAAAATCTAGAATCTCCTTCAAAGTTGGAAATATCTTCTAAAGCACGAAGAGATACAGATTGCCTGCGCTACACAGAATTGCCTGTATCTTTGAGAAATTCCTTAGCGGCTCATTTAATAGATATGCATACATATGGATATGAAAATCTCTCATCGTGCAATCCCTATAGAAATTACGTAAGTACGGTAAGTTAACATTACTTGGTCCCTGGCTATATACGTGTGTGTGTGTGTGTGTGTGTGTGTGTGTGTGTGTGTGTGTGTGTGTGTGTGTGTGTGTGTGTGTGTGTGTGTGTGTGGTGTGTGTGTATGTATGTGTGTGTATATCTGCTTCAATAATTATCATACGGAAGCCTGTTACTTAATGGCATATCGTCCACAATAAGATAGGCGGTGCGCGAGTAAGAGATTAAGTAAAACTTATATTAGCAGTACTTATACACATAATACTGCCATATATGCAAATCGACCGTATATCTTTACAAATTGTTTATATCTCGCTTGTATAAATCCAAGCTCTTTTTTATTTACATTAAGCATATCATGCGATACCGGCGAAAAAACTAATTTATGCAACATTAAACTGTGTTTCAAAATTTCCTTCGGAAAAACAGCGAGCCAATCTCTTATGTACGTGAAAAGCTGTTGTCGATTAATTTTATATTTTAACTCTATTGCACTTTTGCACTTATTTATAAATATAAAGTATTATTAGCATATCTTTAAATAATGATTGTTTATTTAAATCAGAGTGTAACTTGTGGATTAAATCAGAATCCGCCACACGTATTAAAATTTAAAACTTTTAAAACTGAACTTACGCAATTTTCGAAATAAGTTCGAGCGTGAGGCTTTCTTATGCACAATTATCCACGTGCATGATCCGACGCCAGTGGCGTCGGCGTCATAATCGGTGCAGCGCAAAATGTCATAAAATCATATTAAGGACTATCCGGTGCGTTATCCCGCCAGGCCAATATTGTGTTCATGTCGGTAATGCCACGCGTGCTCCATGGCTCGAGCGGATCCGAGGACGACGTCGGCGGTGAGGCCGCCTTATTCAGCTCAATCGATTCCTTCCTCCTCATCGACTCTTCTATTTCCTTAGGCGATACCCTGCGCATGAATGCATTAAAAAAAAACGCGGACTGATTAGGGAAATAATCAATCGGCCGCCGATATCGAGCCTCATATAGGGACATATTCAACTAGAGATGTTCTTTAAGCTATATATTTCTTTAATTTATATATTTTTTTCCGCGAGAAACGTCAAACGTCACGAATTATCGTATCTTTTTTTTTTCTTTTTCTAATTTTTAACATTATACAATGTATATATTTGTAATTAAACGTATTTAGTAATTAAATGGATTTGTAATTAAGCTCTTTAAGAATAAAAATCTATTTATATAAAATTTATTTTAACTGATTGACGTAATCATGTATTTTTCTGCTGAAACTATAAATGCAAAAATATCTTTGTTGAGGAAAAATCAAACAATTTGCAATATATGCATGATGATTTTATCCTGCATAGCGCCAACGACGGGATGATTATTAGATGGAATTTAATTAATGCGTTATTTAAATCACGTCAGATAACACACCGTATTGATCATTATTTATTTGAAAAGATATATATTTCTCTTTCTATCTCCCCCCCCCCCTCTCTCTCTCTCTCTCTCTCTCTCTCTCTTTCTCTCTCTCTCACTATCGACTTTCGTGGTTAGTTACCGATATAAATATCGATTCAATAAATGTCGACTTTCAGCTTCATATAAATTATAAAATATATCTGTAGTAAAAAGGCTATAAATTTGCTCACTGCTTATTAAGAATAAATAAAATAAAGAAAATTAGGGAAATAAAATTATTTATAAACTCACAAGTATTTTTCAGTAGTTAGCTCACAAGTAGTTATACATTTTTTATGGAACTATTTATTTTTTGCTAAAAAAGTATTCGTCTTTTTTGCTTTGAAAATATTGCGATGCACAATAAAATATACCTCTTTTTCTATCTCTCTTTCTCTCCCTCTTTCGCGTTAAAATTTGTTTCGCAAATATAAAAATATTCTCGTGTCTATCTCCGCTATATATGACTTATCGCAAAATTATTAGAAAATGTCGTGATTTATCATCGACCATGAATAAGGCATTATTACCTGTTTTTCGCCGTTTTCGGCCGACGTTTCTGAATTTTATCCGATACCTTGACTGGAATGCTACCATTCTGCTTGACTTCCGACTTAATTGTTTCGATGGAAGTCTTTCGACCTTCAATCTCGATATGATTTGTCGGTTTCTCTTCCGGATCATTGAATAGTGGTCGATATCGCTGATTTCGTTCGATTGATATAGTGGACGAAGAACTATCGCCATCGTCATTACGATGTGACCGTTTTGACGTAGAAATAAACCTGTTATTCGCAGATTTTATTCTTCGAAGGCGAGCTTCAGCGCCTAGCAAATTATCTCCTGTAAACAGCGGTCATATTCTTTTTTGGATAATACAAGATTTACAGATGTAAGCTCATTGAAGTTTTCGCATTCTTTGATCAAAAATTTAAAATTTGCTAATACTATAAGTAGGTTCGTATATAGAAATGACTATCCAAAGTCATTTAAAATTATGCTATAGGATTATAATAAAATTATAATAAAAAACACAAAATTTTATTTTGCGTTTATCAAAATAATGAGATTTAATTTACAGTTAGTGAAAATTTATTTTAAAATGTATTTATCTATATTTTTCTATTATTTTCTTTTACTCTTGATTTTGTATAAATATATTTTTGCCGTTATGCTATTGTTTTTAACTATCCGAGAAAAAAATGATATAACATGATTAGATGTAAATATACATAATTAAATAATTATGAAAAGATCTAATAAAGTATGTAATTTTATATGTGTGATCATATATAATAATGTCCGAAATTTGTGGCACGATATAATATTATCTTTATATAATCATATTCAGCTAATAAATCTGTTTTCATATATGTATAATCATTTAGTCGAATATGATTATATAAGATAAGATCATATCGCGCCAATTTCGGATTTAATTATATATGATTTTATATAATTATAAAAAATCCATTTTTCCTCGAGTATATTATATAATCTCATATTTAATCATAAAATCATAAAAGAAAAATAAAACAGCATTTCCAATTTTTCATTAATACGATTTTATTGCACTACTATTTATTAAATATATACTTAACTATAAGTAACTCATTTTTTTATAAAGGCAAAATAAAATTTTTTAATAAATATTTTTTTCATGAAGTGAAAGGGTAAGAAATAATCACAGACATTTCAAAATATATTTAATAATGCGTGAGTATTTCGGCTAAGTAAAGTCCTTTGACAGCGGATTCTTAGCAAATTATTTTTTTCTCAATCCTAAGCAGTCTAGTATTAGAATATTTGCATTACTTAACTTAAAACGCAAAGACAAACGCCAAGAATTATAGCATTAGCATGCATGAGTAAGAATTTCAGGTTAAATGAAACTCTTTTGAAACCTAACTCATGGTAATATATTCTTCCTTCTATCGTGAGAGATCTTAAAAAATGCCACAATATCTACACTTTTTATATAATGTTTTTATAAAACGCTGGAACAACGGCTAGAAATCTTTAATCGTGTAGACTCACGCATGAATAAAAATTTCGAGTTAAACGGGGTCTTCTGAAACCCTCATTGATGGCCAATTATATTTATTCTATCGTAAAGAATCTTAAAAGATGTGACACACAACACAGTACTTACCCCTTTTAATATAAAACGTAAGGATGATCGCCAAGAACTTTTCATCGTGTATATGTATACACGAGGGAAAAATTTCGTAATTTTATATGCTTGGTGCATATTTTTTACTATCTTTTAGAGAAAGATTATTTATTGTCATTTTAATTTAAAATATTAACGTCTAATTGTTTCCTTCACGTTTTTCTATATATTTGTATATTGACAACTATCAGAAAAAGACTTTTAATTCTTTTCTAATCTTTCTTATTTTACACATACACATATATATTTTTAATATTAATTATATTATATTATAAAAATATATTTATATACATTATATTTTATAATAGTATCACATGGATCACCATCTCAGAGATAAACAAACACTTAATTTCACGAGGACAAAATAATAAATTAAATAAATTATATACTTACCTTACGATTGCACCGTCACCCGATGCTTCCTTATGTCTCTTCTCTTTGCTGCTCTTTTGCTACTTCTTCGTGGCACTCACTCGCGAAAATACTTTTAATTACGATCTTACTCGCAGAACACGACGCAAATCGCGCGACATTTTGTACGGCACTCCCGACACGTTAATTGTACGCGACGTGTTTTTTATTTATTATATTGTGACAAGAGAACAACGCAAATGAAAACTACGATCTGTGCTCGACACTCGAAATTCGCGCAGCCAGATTAACGCGATGTTCGCAAACGTTATTGTTAACAAATAGTATATATGGTCTCGTTTTAAACCGACTACTATCTTGTATTAAAACATAAATGCACAATGTACGAGTTTATGAATTAAAGATAAATGTCCGCGAGAATACAAAACAAAAATATGTTCTCACTCTGTTGTCTGCTCGCGCGATAAATTTCGATAAAATAAATCACGTACAAATTTCAACAAATAATCGATGTATATACATAAAGCATTAAAAAAGCTTTGCTACCCGATTGATAAAGAGTTTAAACCAGTTAAAAGTACTATATATACTTTTTTGTACCGCACATGTAGTAATTAAACGCCGCTTGATTCAGAGTCAGTACATTTTGTCTTCAGAACGTTTCGTTAATGAATAATGAATTGTGGTAATGGTAACTTTATCCCAATATTCGCATGATATTATACGAGTTGAATTAATAGCTAATTAAGACGGGGATCGTTAGAATATAGAGGAGTAATGCGATGAAATACGGAGCGACTCGTGCCGCTACCTACTCACTCGAGCGTCGCTGCCCGAATGATAACAAGGCCACGAAACGTAAACAATAACGCGCTATACGCCGTGAGAAACAAAGCCCAAATACCGTGTAGTAAACAATATTCATTGTCACCACGAAATATTTAACGTACTACGAGATATAAATATATGTGAAATATACTATTCCTTAAATTTCAAATTAATTATTATTAAACGGTTGATATATTACTTTTAATTATTTTGTTCACTTAATCTTGCAATTTGTATATTATTGAGCGTTCACACAATCCGAAGATGATTATCAAAATATATCTAAATCACCGAAAAATTCAATAGAAGATACATATTTGAATCCAAATATATTTTAAAAAATAATTATTGTCAGTAAATTTTTCGCGATCAAACCATAATTTATAATTTCCGTCTCTTATCACTTCGATATCTATTTCAAGTAAATATATCGCGAGAAATACATGCTTTGAAAGAGATAAATAACTGTATGGAGTACGAGTCGTCAGTCGCGAGAATTAATTAATTGCCAAGGGCTGTTAATCTCTAATTGTTAAAAAGGCAACGATCGTATTTGACACGACTGGGTACTTCATTGTATTTTGAAAAGTTAACGATGATACACGAGCATGTCTCGTCATGTAATTAATCTCACGAGGTAACAGATAATAAATTAAATTATAAATAATATAATTAAATAATATATTATTAATTATAATTACTAATAATACATTATAAATTAAATTATATATATATAAATTTGCTCATTCTATTCGTAATATATTTATTTCAAGCAGATATCGAAGTGAAAAGAGATAGAATTTACAGATTGTTTGACTGCGAAGATTTATTCGACTCGTGTTAACCCGAATAATAGCAACATTACGGAATGTAAACAATAGCACGTTATACGCCATGAGAAACGAAGGCCAAATATTATTTACGTACATACGTGCTGTGATATTCGCGCGTGTGCCTTGTTACATTCGCGCAATTAACTCAATACGCATAATGTCACGCGGTATCGAGGTAATGTTACCGTCATCATATCAAAACTCATCAGTTATTAACAAGTCGGTCATTAATAAAATATTTTATAAGTACAGAATGTGTGTCGAATCGAATGGAATTTAATTTATACATGATGCAATATAAAGTAAATAAATAGAAATAAAATTTGTCAATCGTATAGCAGAATTTTGGCGTTTGTACATTAATGTTAAAATCCATAGGTATTTTATTGGTTTATTTGATCAAAATCCAGCGAGTTAGAAAAACAAAAACGTTTTCAGATATCGCGTTCTTTCTACAGATATTTATCTTTAATTTTAATTTATATATATTTTCTTTTACACTTACATTTTAATATAGGAATATAATCATCTTAAGACAAGAGCGTATATTACTTATTCAATAAAATTGTTGCGGTCAATTTGGCCGTCCGATTTTCGGGTACCCAGCTTCATGAATCGTAACTTTGTGGAAGCATAAATTTCACGTTGTTTCTTCGTCGTGATATAATAATAAATAAAATACGCGACGCATGCGATTAATGTCAGGAATATCATATAAGATACCGATTACCGCGCAATCGTCGTCTTGTGCTGATTAGTGCGGGCGTGATCGTAATTAATAGTGCTTTCGCGAGTAAGTGTAAGTGCCATGAAGGAACAGCAAAGGATAAGCAAGAGAGGAGAAGGAAGTTTAGGGAACTATCAGCCGACGGCGGAACAACCGCAAGGTGAGCAATTTATAACTTACTTAATTTATTATTTGTTACTCGTGAAATTAATACTCGTTTATCTCTGTGACAATAATAAATTTGCGAATATATATGTATGTATGTATAGAGAGAGAAACATGTAATTGTGTAAAACAGAGAACATCGTAAAAAAAAATAAAAGTTTTTTTCAGAGACGATTGTCAGTAGATAAATATACAGAAAAATGTTAAGGAAATAATTATCATATTAACATTTTTAACAAATTAATTAACTTTTCTAAAAAACGATAAAAAAATATATATCAAGCATATAAAATTATCGAAAATTTTCGCTTGTATGTGCGTATAATACATGGTTAAAAGTTCCTCACAATTCTTCTGCATTTTGTGTCGAAAAGAGCAAGTATATACATGGCATTCTTTAAGATATAGATAAAGAAAAAATAATTTGCCTCAGATTCTTAAAAATTCATGACCATCTTTTTTACATTTTATATAAAAATATTTGTTAGAGAATTTTATTTTATATTTATAAAAAATTTTTTTATGTATATATAGCTATTTCTGCAGCCTTACTTCATAATAGTAAATTTTAAATTTTTACTCCAAAGATATTTCAAACTCCAACTATGTGAGACTTATAAAATTAGCATAAAACTCGTAAAATAATTATTATAAAATTATTACATTATTAAGTTATATATTGTAGACAAAATTTATAGACAGAATAGCATTTGCACACAAAAATAGACTATTTAAAATGTAAATTATTTAAAACAACAATTATAAAGATCTAATAAACTGAAAAAATGTGAGTGAATTATAAGCCGTTTTTAAATTTTAGTAATAAATAGAAATAAATATCTTATACTTACCACCGAAATCGTTGTCACTGGACTCTATAAAATATTGCTTCTTAACGATGGATTTCTCAGTGACTGGCGGAGCAATCATGGCAAAATGTGCCAAAATTTGTGAATCAATTGTAGTTTTCATCGAAGCTTCGCTGGTGGCTAGGGCAGACTTCGCTATTTGCAGTAAGATTTCGTGGTCTATCGCAGTCTCGGAAGCAATGACTAGTTCCAAAAATGGATCTTCAATAGCTGCTTCAAGCGCTTTTGTTTCTATATATTTAATATTTATTATTTAATTCCTTTACGCGCACATAGGATCATAAAATTTGCGGATTTTAAATATACTTACAATTTATTCTTATTATCAAAATATTATTTACAGAAGCAAAATCAATAAAAAAATTTTATCTGTACTTACGATTCGTATTTTTTAAATTCATCGCTTCCACATTCCTCACGGGATTAGTAGTATTATCGATTAAATCCGTAAGACCTGATAATTTAGTTGGCTCCCCAATGGGCTGTTTATGTGGTTGGACACTCGTCGCTGTTTCCGGATTATTCTGGGTCGTTTTCACCTGATGGTCGTTGAGAATAGCTTTCTGTTGTGTCGTTTTTATCTGTTTCGCGTCGATATTGGTGGGTATGCCTTCTGTCGCCGTGGATAAGTCAAAGTCATGTGCAAAGGCCATTACGTCCAAAGCTGCGGTTAACGCACCACCAAAACCTGCAGTAACTGCCGACACTTGCGGTTGGTCAGCATTGGGACTATAATACACGTGAAATTATTGCGCGGCCACAATGTCCCATGAACGGATTGATATATCATGAAAATAGATTGTCACATATTATAAATATACTCTGTTCAAAACAAACTTATTATTAAAAAAATCATTATAATAAACAATACTTATTATAATATTAATTTATATATATA